TATATATATATATATATAATACATGCATTCTTTCACTCCAAAATATATATTTTCATTGAACATTTATAAAATTTGAATGAAATTGTAGTTTTTTTTTTGCATTTTTAAACTTTGATATTTTGTTGGTGAAAAATTAAATGTGATATAAGATTGTGGTAATTTTTGAATTCAACCTTTATTTAAATATAATGTCTTTCAAAATTATTATATTTATTTAATTGTTAAATATGCCATCGAAACTGCTCTTATAACTATCACATGTCATAACGCCCACTACGTGACCATTGTCTTTCAATGCTCCCACCGCCACCAACAAAACACAAACTAGCATTATACTACTTGTAAATTATTATCATCATTAGTTAATTAATACCAATTTTATTTTATTAAAAAAAAAGAGATAAAAATAATCTCATATTTATTTTATATCAAAATAAAATCTAAAAATTTTAAATATATTATATTTAATTATCCTATATAATATTTTTTCATTTTTTCATTTAAACAAACTCCTTTTAAAACCTTAGATATGCTCGGGCAAGAACCGACAATCATAATAGCTTTAATTCAGTTGGTCAAAAGTCAGCGGTCTTCCCCCAGCCCTTCTCAAGTCAGCCTGTTTAACGTAGTTACGTCGGGCCCCCCTAGATTCGAACACGTGGCTCCCTGATTTTGAAAAAAGAACAATTACATGCTGTCCACCCAAAATTTGCTATTTACAAATCGATCGTCCCCTTTCATCCATTTTCCAAAATCCACATCTAAGGGTATAAACAAGCTGAATCAGCTCGTGTTCCGCTTGTTTATATTTGGAGCTCAAAAAATATGTTCATGTTTGACTCGTTTGCTTAACTAGCAGAACACGAGCTGTTCACGAACAAATAATCATTTTGACAACCTTAATCACGTAGTCATAAGATATTAAGTATTTGAGCAAAATTTAAAAATTATTATTTATATTAAAACATCATTTGACTCTAATTTAATAATTTTAATTCTATTTTCTTAATTAATTAATCTTTGTAGTCTTGTAGTCAAATAGATTTTCTTAAAATACTAGTGTTCGTTCGTGTTCGGCTTGTTACCTTATCGAACGAAGATAACGAGACCAACACGAGCTTCTTAACGAGCCGAACATGAGTTGTTCGCGACAAAACAGGGCTATACACATCAGTTTGGTAGTCGTCTGGATTGTAAATATCAATATTTGGAGTGGTATTTATGTAATAAAACACAGATAATAGAAACTTTAAAATCTACCAGCCAACCTCTGTAAAGGCAGATCCGTTCAATAATAAAAGCTTGACGAGACGAGGGGAGGAGACGACGACCCTCGCCGCCATTGATTACTCACATATTCGTCTCTGCGCGCCTCACCGGCCTAACCCCCGCCGATCTTCATTTTCTCTTTGGCTCTGCCTGTAAATTCTCCACCCTGTTCGGTTCCCATCTCTCTTAGATTCATAATTTTTTTCCTTTTGATTTGATCTTTTATTCCGTTTACAAATTGGCTTCTGAAAAAATTGAAGAAGCCTCCTCATGTGACCCGATTGTTGCAATAACATATGGAAATCGACCGAATAACTTATTTGGAACATAAGATCTTCATTAGCTAAGTAGATATAATGCATTACGAGTTGAAATCATTCTGTTTTTGCTTCTGGTGCTTTGTTTGCTAACTCGCTGGAGAATTTAGGGCTGTTTTAGAATTTAACAAAGGGATTTACATACATACCTTAAATCTCTTTTCTCCTCTGTTTTTTTCTTCGTTCGCGGTGGTCAGTCCGAACTCCGGCGACTTTGCCGGAATCGAGCAGCAGCGAACTTCCTTTACTCAACGGGGTTAGAGGATTAACAGTGAGGTGTTGATTTTATAATTATTGAATGTTTAGGATGCTAAGGATGTAAATATTGATTAGTTTGGGTGGAGATACGTAACATTGATTAGTGTTGGGTGCTATGTATGTAAATCCCCCTAAAAATATCTTTAAATTTGAAGTGTTGAGTTGATATGACTTTTAATTGGTGTTTAAATACTAGTTAATATCTATGACAGCAATGGGGTTTATCTCATCATGCATTTCGATTGGTTTGGTTCAGTAAACAATACCAGTTTCATTGATTCCCATTCATCTTTATACCGAACAGAGAACTAGCTAATCACTTTCTCAGTGCAGGGAACTTTATGTCCATTCAAATGATGCCTGCCCTCTTCTTTTTCTGACAGCATGCATAAAACTGCGTTGTATTATAATTGATTAAATTCCTGTCCTCTACTTTGTTTATTCTTCAGTCATCATTCATGATAGCATAATGGAGCAGAGAGCTATGGAGATGAAGACGTGGAACAGTGGTGTTGTTTTATCCCGCGCTAGATCTGATGGTGATCGCCGAAGTGTGGTTTCCACCAATAATGAGCAATTGTTTGAAAGTGCCTCAGCCCGTAGAGGGGGCATTACAACAATCTCAAGGAGTTATTTTCATGGTCAGACCAACTCACTTATCACAAATGAATCAAGGCAAGATTCCCTTGGTGGGATTAATCATGGAGGTCTCAGAAGGAGAGTTTCACGTAGCCTCACAAGAGATTTGGGTGATCAGATGTTGGAGTCAATCAGTATTTCAAGGGAATTAACAGGCCAGATACTTGGAGAGGTTGACAGTTCTATTGTCGCGCAAATAGGAGATAGTGGGGATCGCTCAATCCGAAGTAGTCATGAATATGACCATGAGCTTATGGGGGTCCCCACTGATAAAGAGAATAACACTGAGAATGGGCTCCAGCGTTCAGCCAATGATGTTGAGATTGTAACAGATGGTTTTCTATCTAGACATCCTGGTTCGAAGTTGGGCTCTCCTTCTTGTCTCTTGGAGGCTGATAGTTTGTTTCCCCTTCCTGCTCTGCTGATCTGATGTTGCATGTTACAGAGAAAGATATGGTGCAGAACATGGATGTTTCATCAAAACAGGTGAATCACAAATAAAAATATATTTCTTGTTTATCAAGATTGATAAAAGCATTTGAAGTTCACTAATATTTTCAGCCTCAGTGCTGAAATAAATTTAGGGCTATGCACTGCAGTAAGATGTTTTTAAGTGTACTGATATTTATATTATAACTTGACAATGCATATTTTGTAAGGAGAACTCTCCAAAACATTTATGTTCTGAATTACATGACTAAATATTACAGTGTACTTGAATTTCCTAGCTACTTTTTGAAAAGATAAATTTAACTACAACAAATGCTGATGACTTTTTTGTCTGCAGGATGTACAGAATAGACTGCCTCCCAGGCTAGACTATGTTTCATACTTGATCCACTTGGCTGTTTTTGGAATTCTCGGGGTAAATTGTTCAACTGTGTTATCATTTGATGTATGTTATTAGGAATGAATTTGACAATTATATGTTAGCATTTTGTGACTGAAATTCAGATTGGCTTCTATTATTTATGTTGTTATGAGCACACACTACTTTTTAGTAGTTATTTTGATGTCATACAACAACAACAACAACAACAAAGCCTTAATCCCACCACGTGGGGTCGGCTACATGAATCCTTTTAGTAAAAATAACAAAATCCTTTTAGTTATTTTGATGTCATAGTAGTAAAAAAATTGCAGAAAAAAAATTAAACCACACAAAAGAAACATGAAGTAGGACTTTAAAAAAACGCAAGAAATGAAAGAATTAATGTCTATTGGAGATTATTTTTTAGGGTGCCTTTTTGCTTTCAGGAAGTACTGCTAAGGTTGCAGGTTCAACCAAGAAACGTGACATTGGAAAGTTCTTGAGTGTAATATATAATGCATTGTTGTTGACCACTAATAAATTATTTTGCAAATATCTTTATTCATAAGCAAAAATTACTCATTTAATCTGTAGTGGTCTTATTCTTATTTCATCTTTATCCTAACTTACAGGTTTTAACAAGATATTTACTGGAAAGGCTATTTGGTCCGGACCTTCTTGCTCTTACAGGGGATGATACACCCCTTTACCTTGATCTCCCCTCCAACATGGTACCTTATTTGACTTCACTTATATTTTTTAAATTTAATCCTGATCTTTGGTTTAATATAGTTTAAAGCATTTTGTTCGCAGTTAGGTTCTTTTCTTATGGGCTGGTTTGGCATTGTATTCAAGGCTGATGTACGTGCTATATCTGAACATCTGGTGATTGGAATAACAACTGGCTACATGGGAAGTCTCACAACTTTTAGTGGGTGGAATCAGAAAATGCTCAACTTGTCTACCAAGGGTCACTGGGCATATGCGGTCGCAGGCATTATTTTAGGTATTCCAGCATTATTTTTCTTAATTTATTAATGTTAAGCTACACTTATGTGTGATTGATTTAACATACTCTTCATATAAAATGAGTTGTTTTCTGAGTACACAAACTTTTAACTAATAATAATCTTCTTTATGATCATGTGATGTGGTATTGATTCTGGAAATATAAAAAGAACTTGGTAGAACTTTAAATATTGAATAAAAGCAATTAACTGATCAATTTGCTCCAACCTTACTTGATTTTAAATCAATTTCAGTTATATGTTTTGCATAATTGAGCTTGTTTATTTGTTGTTTGAGAAAACCAAATAGAGTAGAATTATATTTTATTATACCTTATACATGATACATTTTGAGCCTTACAATCACAAAAGAGGTCATCATAAATTTGTCACTTAGTAAATTCTCTTTGTTATATTTGATTATTATAATCATGTCGAACCAAAGTGTGTCATACCATTTCCATTCATATTGAACCTGAGAAACCCAAAATAGGTTTTGCCAATTAAAAAAGAATCAAACCAAATCCAACTGAATATAATCTGTTCTGCTTAGATTTGAGATTATGACATTTCAAAGATCTATTAGATGGTGCACTGGCTCTTATCCCAACTTGTAAAGCTGTTTAATCTCAATTTCAATAATGAGCTGGATGAGTTTATGTTGCCACAAGAACACAAGATACTAATCTAAAGTTGCTTTTGTTCCTGCAAGGTCTTGAAGAAGCCTTCAACATTGATGACTAGGTCACATTTTATGTCTTAAGAAAGGGTCAGCTATTCTTCGAGGCATGATGCTGATGTTAATCTACTACACTTTTAAGCACCTCTAGAGCTCCATTTATTTAATTATATCTATTTTATCACAGGCTTGGATATAAAAACAATCATTATTGCATTGCCATCCTTAAAGACTATGCTATTACTTAATATCTAACTTTATGCAAATCGTGCTTTTGTTGGAAGCATGTGGTTATTTTGGATTGTGAAAGAACTTGATTTTTTTTTCATGGATGACTTCGGTGTTCATGTGGCTTATAATATCAAAATTGAACAGTTTTTCATAGAATTATAAGATATTAATTAAATTTTAACATTCAAGATTCATGATAGGATTTAATAAGCATTGGTCATATGTGAGCACGCACGAATTTTTTGCTGTGATGGAAATTTTATCTCATTTTCGTGCTGCCATTTTTTTTTTCGCAGGCATGTTAATTGTAAATGAATGTATCAATATTGGGGTGGAATCTGCTGAGTGGCTGCGCAGATGTTTTTTGGAATGGATTGAAAATTGTCCGGAGAGAACCAAAACTATACTTAAGAACATGAGACTAGATACATTTAAATGGAATGTTATCATTATGATATTCATGCTAGTGATATGGGCATCATTATGGGGCTTGAGTGGCACATTAGCTGGTAAAGAATTAGACAATCTCACCAGTGGCGCTATACTCTGGCTGGGCTGCTTGGCAGGACCTGTTGGTGTTTGGGCTCGATGGTACCTTGCTAGACTTAATGGCCAGGGCCTGGGAAAGAAGGGATCACTCAAATGGCTCCCTATTGGGACACTATTGGCTAATTTTCTTGCAGCATGCTTTATGGCAGCTCTTACAACAATCAGCAAGGCGGTATGAAAATTTCACTCGTTCACAGCTCTCTTTTGATTATTGATTGCCTATATTAATGATTTTTGTTTGAAGTATGAATCAAGGAATAATTTAGGAAATTCTCCGTTATGTAGCATGAAGTTTAAATATATCTCGCTCTGCTTTAATTTTTCAAGCCTTTTTGTCAAAGTTTTGAACAAATAGGCCGAATGTCTTTTCCTTCGCTTTCATTCTAATAAATAATAGTATGTACAATCTATTTTAGGTACATAATATTCTGTATAAGCTATTAAAGGTAACTTAATTAATACATATTGCTAATCTAAATATTCCACTAAAAGGAAAGAATCCATGCAAATATAATATTCCTTCTTTGCACTATTGCGAAGAAGGAAACTCTTTATTCTGTCTGATTTCATTTACTCCTGATTGATATCCCTCTCAAATTGATGCTCGCTGATCAAGAAGCATCAATTTGCCTACAAGAACTGATGACGCTGTCGAGAAAGAGCCTTAGTAAATATATCAGCCGTTTGAAGATCATAAGTGATATTAGAAAGAGAGATAACACCATCCTCATAAGCTTCTCGAATGGAATGACAGTCCACTTCAATGTGTTTTGTGTGCTCATGAAAAACAGGATTAACAGCAATCTGGATAGCGCTCGTATTATCTGCATGAAGAGAAGTTGACTTAAGCTGAGGAAAATCAAGCTCAGCCAGCACACCCCAAAGCCAAATGATCTCGGAAAAAGCAGATGACATAGTGTGATATTCTGATTCAATAGATGACTTAGATACTCAATCTTGTTTCTTGCTCTTCTAAGAGATTAAAGAGTTACCGAGAAACGTGCACCACTAGTAATACATCAGTGTGTATCAGAACAACCAGCCCAATCGACATCACTATAGGCTGTTAGGGTGATAAGAGATTTCGCAGAAAAGAACAAACCATGATGAGAAATACCTTTCAAATACCGAGCAATACGTCAAACTGCAGCTAAATGAAGATGTAGGAGTTTGCATAAATTGACTAACTTGTTGTACAACAAATGAAATATTAGGACGTGTAATAGTCAAATAATTGACTCCCAACAAGTTGTCGATATAGAGATGGTTCAGATAAAAATTCACCATCATTTTGTGGATATTTGACATTTACTTCCAAAGGAGTATCAGCAGAGCGACCATCTTGAAGACCAGCCAAAGTAATGAGTCCCTTCGTATAGTTGCGTTGATGAAGAAAAATACCAGCGAGAGAAGAGTGAACCTCAAGTCCTAAGAAATAAGTTAATGATCCCAAATATTTCATATGAAAAGACCCTGAAGACGCTTCTGTAGCTGAGACATCAATTGATTGTCAGATCCTGTGATGATAATATCATCGATATATACTAATAAAAAACAATTCCCTTGTCAGTTTTGCAAAGGAATAACGATGAATCATGCTGACTTTAAAGAAAAGAGAAGCTAAGAAGGGTATTGCAAAACTTTTCAAACCATGCCCGTGGAGCCTGTTTCAGACCGTATAGGGACCGTTTGAGTTTACAAACATCATGTGAATGTATAGAAACAAGCCTGAAGGAGGAGTCATATAGACATATTCTTTGAGATCCCCATGTAAGAATGCATTTTTAACATCCATCTGCTTTAAGAACCAACTTTTAGATGCAATAATAGATAACACCAGCCGGACAGCTGTCATCTTTGCCATAGGTGCAAATGTTTCTTTATAATCCATCCTGTATTCCTGTTGATTGCCAAGAGCTACCAATCTTTTCTTATATCTGTCAAGAGAGCCATCAAATCAGACTTTAAGAGAGTAAATTCATTTACAACCAATGAGTTTAACATCTGTAGGACATGAAATAATATCCCACGTGTGATTGTCTTGAAGTGTCTGAAGTTCCTCTTGCATGGCTTTGACCCAACAAGTCTGTTTAGCAGTTTGAAAGTAAGAGGTAGGAACAGTGGTATTAGTTAAAATTGCAGAAAACTCATATCTATCTGGAGGATGGATTCGCCGAGTTGATCATCGAAGACTTATTGGAGCAATTTTTGGATTAGGATCGGGGAGGATTGAAGGTGAATGAGGCAGACGTCGTGTGTAGACAATGTCAAGTTTGAATCTTTTATCCACAAAAGAATTATCAAATTGTAGAAGTATAACTGTATCTGGTGTCGACACATGATGCTGAAAGTAATATTCATGTTCAAAGAAAATCACATTCTGAGAAATATGTCAGCGACTATTAATCGAATCATAACACACAAAATCTTTATGATTAGGACTGTACCCCTTAAAGACACATCGTAGTGACTGAGCTGCCAACTTATGACGTTCATGAGCAGGTAGATGAACAAAGCAAACACATCTGAAAATATATAACATATGCTAAATATGATGTTTACCAAAAAATCAATAGTATGGATAATCATACTTCAATTATTGAGATGGTAAACGATTAATGAGATAAACTGCAGTAGATAATGCTTCAGTCCAAAATTTAGCTAGAACAGAAGATCTATCAATAATGCACGCACAATATCTAATAGATGCCGATTTTTTCATTCAGCAACTCCATTTTGTTGCGGTGTATAGGGACATGAACGTTGTGAAATAATATTTTTATATAGAGAAATGCTTGAAACTCATGAGACATATATTCACCGTCATTATCATATCGTAAGGTTTTTATGCAAGCGAAGAACTGTGTTTCAACATATGTTAAAAAAGTTTGAAATACAGTAAATACTTTTGCTTTGAAACGCAAAAAATAGATCCAAGTAAATCGACTGTAATCATCAATAAATGTCATAAAATATTTATATTGAGCATGTGAAATAACTGGTATAGCTCTCCAAACATCACTATGAATAATTAACACGACTATTGGAAATAGGAAAAGATAATGTCTTACTTTTTCCAAGTTTACAAACAGAGCAATCAACTACTAAATTCTTATCTGTAGAATGAAAAACACTACTTTTAAGTAAATGTTTTAACAACATATCATTTGGATGACTTAACATTTTATGCCAGATGCTCGCTTTATTCTCAACAACTGAAGAAGCTAATGACATATTCGAAGGAACCGTAAATTGTAATGGAAACAACTTGCCCATTTTAGGCCCCTTTGCTATCACCTTTCCCGACACATGATCCTGCACAATACAACCATCACGAGAAAAATGCGCGTCATAGTTATTATCCACAATTTGACCAACAGAGAGTAAGTTAGCAGATAATTTAGGAGAAATCAAGACATGTCTGAAGGAGGAGTTAATATAACCAACTGTCGTAATTGAAATATTATTTTCATTAGCAACCTGAATATGTTAGCAACCTGAATATGTTGAGACCTGAATATGTTGAGCACCAGTGTATGGTCGTTGGTTATGCAATAAATCAGTTGTGTTAGTCATATGATTTATGACGTCTGAATCAACAAACCAAGTAGAATGAACGAAAGCAATAATTTTACCTTTCCCTTGAAGGCCGAGAGCAGAAAAGACAGAGAGAATCATCTGTTGAACCATATCTGGTGTGACAACTGATTGATTATTGTCAGCAACTGTGGATGTCGAGCCAGGATTGTGAGTGTCGGATACCGTGGCATGAAACGCTTGTGGTTTACAGTTCTCGGGTCGTGTAAGGCACTCCGTAAAAATGTCCCTTTTGCTTGCAATAATTACAACACTTATTTTTACAATTACGTGCAATATAACCAAATTTTTTGCAGTTGTAGCACTGTACTGGTCCCATGCCTTCGGTCTGAGCAGCATATGTCATATTAATTATTTCTGATGATTCACTTGTTGTACTAATAACAACTTGTGTCGCCAACCTTTGTTATTCGCGCAGTAATTCACCAAAACAGATATCCAAATAAGGAATCAGATCTCTGTTCAGCAGTCCAGTCCGAGCTGTTTCAAATTCAGGTCGGAGCTTCATTAAAAACTGATCACGACGACTTTCTTCATTAATAGCCTGATGACTAGCTAAGTTCTCCTTTAACACCTTAGCATAGATAATGTCAGTATATTCGCTCTATAAATTTAGAAAGTTAAAATAATATTGTTCAATTGAAAGATTACCATGACTATAATTACTCATGTCAAATTCCAATTGAAAGTATTTCGCAGAATATCTTAATTGTAAATGCGCTTCAAGTATTCTTATGTTTCTTTAGTTGTGCTTAAGGATCGTAAATTTTACCATATGAGCCTTAATAGATCTTAAGATTTAGAAAACAATCTGAGAATTTTTTTATTATCATTGACCAAGATCTTTTGGCACTACTTCCGTTTTAAGAACATTCTGAGCTCAAATTCACCGGCAAGATTTGAGAAGACATTTTAATCGTTGATCG